GAGAGAGAGAGAGAGAGAGAGAGAGGAAGAGAGGAAGAGAGAGAAGAGGAGAGAGAGAGAGAAACTTCTCCCTTCTCCCTAGTCTCTGGCTCCAGGACACTGGCGTTTTCCAGCCTGTCTGGCTGCCCGGGACTGCACATCCGTCTCCTGGGTTTGGGGGTTTGGGGGTTTGGGCGGGAGCTGGATGTCCTGTAGGAAACTCAAGGCTGCAAACTGCGAGTGTGGCAGGGATCCCGAGCGAGGAGGAGGCCCGGGGAATGGTCCCAGACCCAGACCTGGAACCCGCCAGGAGTTCTCGGTTCAATAGCTTCCAGGGAGATGAGCCCAGCATCGCAAAGGTGTCCTTGAAGGGGGCGCTAGTNGTGTGTGTGTGTGTGTGTGTGTGTGTGCTCTTTGTCCATGAAGACCCTGTATAACCTCTTCACTTCTGCTAGCCCAGAGGGGTCCTACCCCAGTAGTGACCAGATGGCCAGGCACTCCGGCTATTTGCCTGATCCGATGACCCTGCACAGGCTGCTTGGGACAAGAGAACACACAGGGCATACGATATCAGAACCTTTCCTAGACTTCCTGCCTCTGACTTCAGCCTGCCTCCAAATAGCCAGAGCCAGAGGCAGTGGCACAGTTCCTAGAGTTCTAGGAGTGCCTGTGTGTGGCACAAGGGGTTTGGGGGTGGTGCAGGTTGCTGGAGTTCTGACCCTGGGGACCCCTCTTTGGGTGGATGGATCACAGCAAACTACAGAAAAGGAGCCCCTTCCTGTGGGAGGAGAAACCAAATCTTTCTGCCCTTCTTCCTCCACTCCTACTGGGCTGTGGGTAAACCACGGAGTTAGCTGTCATCTTTCTCACTGGGTTTGGGGTGGGCGGAAGGCTAAGTGGACAGAGCGTGGGTTTTGGGGGCAGGCAGACCTAGCTGTCAATCCTGGATCCTCAACTCATTAGCTCTACCACCTTGGGAATGTTAATTAGCATCTGTGAACTTTGCTTTTCTCACCTGTAAAGTGAAACTGATCATACACCTCTCTGCAGAGTTGGTGGTAAGGGTTAAATATGAGAACATATATAAAACACTTATTAGAGCTTAACACACACTAAGTAAATAATAAATAAACAATAAATAAATGTTGGCTGTCTGCCCCCTGTTTTCTGTGCCTCACACTCTCACGTCATTTTCCTTCTGAGGAAATAGGCTTGGTTTTCAGAAAAAGAGAGTGTCTCCCTGACCCTGTCTTTATGTCACTTATTCATTCAACTTATCTACATTTACTGAATGCCTAATATGTGTCAGGCCCTGGGCTTGATGTTGTGGGAGACACAGAGAAATATAAGGTATGGCCCCTGCCCTCAAGGAGCTTGCAGTCCAAGAGCGGACAATGCATGGGGAAGGAACCAACAGCACAAACCAAGATTCATATGTGCCACCTTGGAGGGAAAGACCCTAAAGTCTCAAGGAGCTTCCTGCCCCTCTGCATCCCTGGTGGGGTGGTGGTGGAGAAACAGTGATCATAGCAGGCTGGGGAGGTTTGAGGGTCTTCATGGAGGAGGCAGGCTGGAGCAAGGCCTTAAAGACTGGGTAGGAAGTCAATGTGACATATTTCACTACTAGTTGGAAGTTGGGAGTGATTTTCAGAGCAGCGGGAGGCTGAGGGCTTTATCCCCAGTCTCAGATTTCATGTTAGGGTGGGGCTGACTCACTTGGAACTTCAAACAAGGGTTCTGGAGAAAGCTCTACACCAGGGTGAAGTGAGGCTGGTGGGGAGCTGGGCCAGGCCTGAGGGTGGCTGAGAGGGCCCAAGAGCCTGACAAGGCCAAGATTCAGGGTCAGATCAGGCCTTCCTCCTGGGTGTGACTGGTGCAGCCCTGCCTCCCTCCGCCCTGAGTCCTTAAGACCCCACACCCACATCCTCAAACCTTAGGTTGCC